ACAGAAGCACTTGGGATCTTGACTGTGACATCACAGAACAAGGGTGAAGTGGCCGGTAACAAGTGACGCAGCTGCCGTTTACGGATGCACTGGTGTGCTCTCGGTACTGCTGTTGTTCAGTCATTAAGTCATGTCGGACTCTTTGTAACCCCATGGGCTGTAGCCCGCCAGGCTCCCCGGTCCATGGAATTTTCCATGCAAGAATACTGGTGGGTTGTCATTTCTTTCTCCAGGAGATCTTCCCAACCCAGGGATCTAATCTGTATCTCCAGCATCGCAGGCAGATTCTTTACCACTGAGCCACCCGGGAAGCCTCTCCAGGTACCATACTGAGCATCTAATGCATCATGGAAGGCTCACAACCCTGCCTGGAGGTAAAAGAGGATTATCTCTGCTTTACAGATGGGAAAACTGGCTCTGAAAAGTTAAGGAACTTGCTCAAAGAGCCATCATTGTTCTCTTCTGCTGAATTTCCTGTGGTGTATTTATAATTACACAAATTTTGAGGAATCAACTTTTTAAATCTCAAACATTTAATTTACTAAAAGAAGAATTTAGTGTAGCACTTTTATAGGTTCACACACTATTCCATGCTTCATCAGAGAGGCAAACAATGATGTCCACTTCATGCTGTGGGCACCGACTCCCTCCTGGATATGTTGGGTTGGGGGAGATTCACTCAGGTCTGAAGACGTGACCAGCACAGTTTTCTGTGTTCTCTTGGCAGGAGGAGGTAAAAGCATCTCACAGGCTACTAAAAACATCTGCAGGAGCAGAGGATAAAAACACCAGAGCAATGTAAACTAAACCAAAATTCATAACAGCTAACTCTACAAAGGTGGAGCAGCCATGAAAGAATCCCGGACTTCACATAACCCAGCTCAGATAACTCTGGGCGTATTTTCAGAGATAATTTGTAATTATTTTTGGTGACGGAACACTGTAAGAGAATGGAGAACAAATCCATGGGGAAACCTAAAGCCTCATTTGAAGTAAGAATTTCCAACATAACTGAGCCAGGCATGATTTCCAAGGCCTATACCTTTTCCGGAGCAGGCTTTCTTCAGATGCTTGTTATTTATCATCTGATAAAGGTGCCAAGGTGCATTTTCATGGTTTAGAGTCAGAGTAAGAAACTACAGCAAAAATACACTGGATAATTCATACCTGAAATAACAGGGGCATTTTTATAACACTTTCTGGCACTTATATATGGCTACTCACCTGTAGCAAAAGAAAAACTGAAAACAGGACATTTTTGTGGCCATTTGTGGTTACTCATGTTATTGGAGCTCTGGGTTATTTCTGTAAAATGGTGGACCACTTCCAACATGTCCTTTGCATGCGTGCTAAGTAGCTTCAGTTGTCTCTGACTCTTTGTGACCCCATGTACTGTAGCCCACCAGGCTCCTCAGTCCATGGGATTCTCCAAGCAAGAATACTGGAGTGGGTTGCCATTTCCTCCTTCATGGAATTGTCCTAATTGAACCCGGGTCTCTTACATCTCCTGTGTTGGCAGGTGGGTTCTTTAGTACTAGTTCCACCTGGGAAGCCCCAATGTGTCCTTTGGTGAGCTCCAAAAAAAACAAGAGTCCTCCAGAAACATATCATACAGTGGCCTCTCCTGATCTGTGGGATTGAAGAGACAGCCAAGGGACACAAAGCAAGTCAGCTGCTGCTCCCACCAGCGATAGGCAACAACCCATTCCTTCTAGGACCCACAGAGAGGCACCGGGAACAGCTGTGTCACTTTCTCAGCACCAACAAGAAATGAAATACTGTTAAGTACTCCTGGAATCACAAAGCACACACGGCGGGCAACTCACCAAATGGTTCTGAACACGCCTGGCTGTGTGCATGCTTCGTATGTGCATCACGGTGGGGTCCTAGCACTGCCTCTTGGTGATGGTGATGGGGCTGGTGCACCGACCATCCAGCCTCTCATCTGTTCTGTCTGGCCAGGGGCTTTCACCACCCCTTGTCTGCTGAGACCTGGAGGAGGAGCAAGTGCTGGTAGGCACAGAGGGAGAATGAAGCCCAACCCAGCCACACCCTGCTGAGTACTGTCTTCTCCATCACCCTGCTTCTCAATCTGGACCTGTGAGGATCAAGGCCACAAAACCCTCATGCCCACTGTAAGGACCAGAAACAAACTGGGCAACACAGTACAGGGGCTTAGTCAACAGGGGTGGTTGTTAATGGGACTTATGCTCATCTCGTTTGATTTCAGCAGTGGTCTGTGGCTCAGTGGTAAAGAACCTGCCTGCAGGAGATGCAAGAGATGAGGGTTCAATCCCTGGGTTGGGAAGATCCACTGGAGAAGGGAATGGCAACCCACTCCAGTAATCTTGCCTGGAGAATCCCATGGACAGAGGAGCCTGGTGGGCTACAGGGTCCTTGGGGTCATCAACAGTTGGACACGACTGAGCGACTGAGCAAGCACCAGGCAGCACTGCAGCGTACACGTGTAACTGACATTCTAGGGTGTCAGCGCTGTTTCCACTGCAGCGTGTGTGTGTAACTGACATTAAAGGATGTCAGCGCTGTTCCCACTGCAGTGTGTGTGTGTAACTGACATTAAAGGACGTCAGCGCTGTTCCCACTGCAGTGTGTGTGTGTAACTGACATTCTAGGATGTCAACGCTGTTCCCACTGCAGTGTGCGCGTGTAACTGACATTCTAGGGCGTCAGCGCTGTTTCCACTGCAGCGTGTGTGTGTAACTGACATTCTAGAGTGTCAGCACTGTTCCCACTGCCGCGTGTGTGTGTAACTGACATTCTAGGGTGTCAGCGCTGTTCCCACTGCTGCGTGCATGTGTAACTGACATTCTAGGATGTCAGCGCTGTTCCCACTGCAGCATGTGTGTGTGTAACTGACATTCTAGGGTGTCAGCGCTGTTCCCACTGCAGCGTGTGCATGTAACTGACATTCTAGGGTGTCAGCGCCATTCCCACTGCAGCGTGTGCGTGTAAGTGACATTCTAGGACATCAGCGCTGTTCCCACTGCAGTGTGCGCGTGTAACTGACATTCTAGGATGTTAGTGCTGTTTCCACGCTGTAGCAACCACCTCTTTGTTGAGTTATTAATGAAACACCACTCCATGTAAACTCCCAGCTGATCAGCCCAGAAACTGAAATCTATATCCTGGTTAGAAGGTGGACATCTTCCTGCCATAAATGAAGACTTGAAGACTTCGGCTCCTCAAGAGGCACACTCATGCTCATATTTTATGCTGAGGATAAACGTTCCATTTCCTCTGTCTTGCTTGGCGGTTCTGAATATTACCCTGTGTTACCTGTGTCCTGAAATGACTCTGATTATGTGCGGTAATTACTAGAGCTGAGCTGGCACGTTAAGTACCAATATCACAAGTTCTTTTAAAAAATCTAGTGTGTCTTTCCTCATGAGGCTTTAGAACAGCCAAGGGATTTGTCAGCATGGATGCAGCTACAAACAGGACTGGAGGGTTCTGGCAGACGAGCCCTGAACCTAGACTCTGTCTCCAGGCCCCTGGGGTCTGCTCCCTCTACCCCCGGCGCCCACGGATGGAAGAGAAGTGACCCCAGGCGACTCCAGGGCATTCAACCACCCAGAGCACGGACAGAGACATGAAGCACACGTCCGCCTGCCAAGACCAACTGGACACCAACCGTCGAGATTTCCTTGGAGTGGTCAGTATGACTCCAAGACAGACCTCGAAACATCACTGGTGAAGCCCAGGCCCACACTGTGCCCGTACGCTCCTCTCGCCGGGACACAGGGCTCAGAGCTCCCTCCATGGCCCTCTATACCCGGGACCACCTCTGCTCCAGGCCCAAGGGGGCAGCAGACTCAGTCTGGAGGCCCTGGCCACTTCAGTGGCCGTGTCCTTGGAATCCCTAGCCCTGCAGAAAGACCCTTGGGGTCCAGGGACCTGAATATGTGCACGCTGCATGGTTACCATCCCCTCACAGGTGTGACGTCACTTCCTCCTGACCTGCAGTGAGAGGAAGGGGCTGGGCTGTTTCGTCTGCCCACCGTCAGCATGGACCAGCTCTGTGACCAGCATGGAAGGTTCTGGTCACAGCTAACGACCGCAGGACCAGGGAAAAGTCACATAAGAGAGGGGCTTCGACTGTGCGGTCTCCAGGGCTCCTTCCAGTGGGCAAGTACTGTGGTCCCATCATTACTTCTCCCTCTTGCAGCCTCCCCACTCCCTCCTGGCCAACAGTCTAGAAACTTCAGCCAGGTCGCCAGGAAACACAGGTGATCTCTGGCTGCAGGTGAGAAGCTGCACAGAGACTGCTTTCAAAAAGCATGACCTTGAGGACTTCCCTGGTGGTCCAGTGGTTAGGAATCCACCTGTAGATGCAGAGGATATGGGTTCGATCGCCGGTCCAGGAAGATCCCACATGCATCAGAGCAACTAAGCCTGTGCATCTCAACTACTGAGCCTGAGGTCTGGAGTCCACGTGCCTCAACTACTGACGCCCATGGGCCCGAGAGCTTGTGCTCCAGAACAAGAGAAGTGAGCACAGTGAGAAGCCCGTGCACTGCAACCAGAGCAGCCCCTGCTTGTGAAACCAGAGGAAGGCTGTGCAGCAGTGAAGACCCAGCATAGCCCAAAGAAATAAATAATATTTTTTAAAAAAGCAAGGCCTTTAAAGGATAGACAACCGCTACATTTCACAAAACAAAGGAAAACTCCCTTATGAATGAGACACATAAGGAAAACCCACTTTACATCCACCCCTACAGCAATTAGCATGCATTATACTGTAACATTTCAAGAGGCTTTTTAAAAGACACTGATGCTTGCCTTTTGTTTTCTGAGTCAAGAGTGAAAAAAATGAATTCATTACTGCTTTGAATCCTTAAGGATATCTATTTCTCTCTCTTGCCTGAGAAAAACCAGACTCAAGAAGATCCTGAAACGACGTGAGTAAGAACCAGAGACGTCCGGGGCACGTGCCCAACCCCTCCTTGTTTCTCTGACCCTGGAGGAGCAGGATGGCCTACCTCCCCCCCGATCCTCCTCGTTCTCGCTCAGCAGCTTGCCCGCCGAATTGTACCACTTGAACTGGGGTTCGGGGAGGCCGTAGACACTGCAGTTGATCAAGGCACTGTTCCCTTCCTTGACGATGATATGGTCGGTCCTGGCGACGACCACGGGCGCTGAGCCCACCGCCACGTCGGTGGCGTTTAAAGTGCTGTTGGCCACACTCCTGGCGGTCGCCAGGGTGGACGCGAGGATCAGCAAGGGCATGGGAGGCAGGAAGCACTCGGGCAGGTGGCTCTTCACTCCGCCCATCTTCTTCGCTCGCCCGTGAGGCGGCAGAGCCGGCCGGCCGGGGTCCTCTAGCGGGTGACACTCTGTTCACAGCAGGCCAGGGGACAAACCTGGCCTGGCTCCATGGAGTTGGCTCCTGATTAAAAACCTGTTTAGAAAAAAAAAAGAAATGCATAAATACTAGCATTCATACTCTAAAATGATTATTTATAATATGTTAGGAACCCAGCTAAAACACACATCTGGCTAATTTTTAAATAGCACACCAATTATGTAGTTGTTCCAAACATGGAAAATCATGATATATGAGTTTGTTATTTCTGCTACTGAAACATAAGACTCCTGGCAGGAACAGTGTAACTTTATATCACACGACCTTGCAGGGCTCAGAGGCCGACCCTGGCTTTCCTCAGTCAGCACCGCAAGGCCTCCTCTCACCCCCCGCCTGTCCCCTTGGGGACCCCGGGGTGCACTGGGTGCTCAGAGTCTCTCTCTGCCGGTGGACACGCCCTCCGCCTCCTGCAGTGCACCCCGGGGTCTGCCACAGCGGAAGGGCTCCCCCAGCATCAGCTGGCGTGGCCCTCCTCAGACTGGGACGCCCTTCCCCTTTCAGGCAACCACTCCGGAGCCCTCTGCCCCCGCGACCCTCCCCTCCCGCCCGCCTCACTCACTGAACTCCTCGGCCTCCATCTTCACCTGCCTCTGGGGATGTCGGGTGTGACATGGTGGGTGGCTGCGCTTGCTCACCCGAGATCTAACCCCCACCTGCTGCCCCCCGCTCCATCTCACCCACTAAGACATGGCCACACCCCGGCCTTTCTTCTCTTCACATTCTAAATTCTGAAGTTCCAGGTCACTCTGAGGTTCTCAGTAGCCGTCCTGCCCTGCACCCCACCTCCCCAGTGGCCTCAATGGGCTTCCTGGTCTCCCGACTCCCCTTAGGCTGCCCTGGCCAGCACCCAGGCACACAGAAACCTCCCCGAGACCGCGTCCTCCCGCCAGTGTCCAGGGGGATGCAACCCGCCCCGGGACGTCCTGGCTGCCACCGCAGAGGCCCGCGCAGAACTGGGGACGAACGACACCCACGATGTGCTCGCAGAAACCAAGGCATGCCGCCGGCCCAGCCAGGCCCACGGAGGCGGTGGGCCCTGGGGGCAGCTGCGCTTGCGGGTCCGCTGTCCTCTTCCCTCCATGGTCTCTCCAGCTTCAGAACCAACATTGTGGCCCGCGGTGGTACGGCCTGCCCCCCACGGGGTGCGGGGCTGAGTCCCCTGCGGATCCTGCTCACATCGCCAGTCTCTTCCTTACCAGCCCTGTGGCAGCTGTCACTGTGACGGCTGCTCTCCCCATCCTCTCCTTCTCTGGAGCCTCTGTGCTCCACGCCCCCACTGATGGTGCTCCCTGTTCTTCCCCAGCCCCTCTCCTTCCCCTGCAGCCGCTCCTGCCACCTCCAACCTGAGCACCCCCGGGTCCACATTCCTGGTCCTGATCCCCTCCCTGCGGACGGGTACCACCCACAGCCCACGCACTTCCCTGCCAGGATGCCCTGCGGGGAGTCGTATCAGTGTCCTCAGACCAATCTGGGTCAATCTGGGGTCAATCTGCCAACCAGGCCACGGCACCATCTGTGCGGGAAGGCGCGGGGACAGTCCTCAACTCCACCACCCTCTTCCCCTCTGAACGTCCCTAACACCACACTGTGAGCTCCACCCGCTGAATACTGCGTGGGCGGGCCCCCACATCTGTCCTCGGAGGGCCCTCCCTGGGGGCCTCCGTGTCCCCCTCCTAGGAGCGCGGAGGGAGCCTTCTGGGCTGACCACCCATCTTCAGTCTTGGCCTGGATTCCAGGCCGACCCCTCTAGCCACTCTAAACACAAGCCACACCGCGCCCCTACTTTATGTAGCAAGTATCTGCGTCTCTGCACTGCGGTGCTACACAATCTGGATTCCTTATCCCTTCTATTCAAAAAGAATTACTGAACATCTACTGTGAAAGAGAAAGTGTCGGCTGCTCAGTCGTCTCCGACTCTTTGCGACTCTTATGGACTGCAGGCCCCCAATTTCCCAGGCAAGAATACTGCAGTGGTTTGCCATTTCATTCTCCACGGGGTTGCACTCACGTCTCCTGCACTGCAGGCAGATTCTCTACCTTCTGAGCCACCAGGAAACATCTGCTCTGGGCAGACATTATTCTAGGTCCCAGAGACAGATGAACAGACAATATAGATCTTTCCTGTGGAGATTATATCCTCATGGGGAAAAGCAGAATAAATACCATGTGTATAAGAACTTTGGATAACCACACATGCTTTGAAAAACACACCATGATGCACCTGAGTGCCAAATGAGGCACTCCGGGAGAACTTCCCTGAGGAGGTGGCCTCGGAGCTCTTTGAGAATCACCCAGACCCCAGAAAAGGGCCTTCCAGGAAGAGCCAACAACTAAAGCAAACGGGGAGCTGCCACACGTGTCACAGACACGGACGGGTCCAGACCTCCTGGGGCTCTGGAGGACACAGGAAGGAACCTGGATTTTATCATTCATTGAAAAATGTTAAGAGGGGAGAGAGGATGTGATTTCTCTTTTAAAATCAACTTTGCTTCTGCTCAGTCGTGTCTGACTCTGCAAGCCCTGGACCGTAGCCTGCCAGGCTCCTCTGTCCATGGGATTCTCTAGGCAAGAACACTGGAGAAGGGTTGCTATTTCTGCTCCAGGGGCTCTTTCCGACCCAGGGATCAAACTCACATCTCTTGCGTATACTGCACTGGCAGGCAGATTCTTTACTGCTGAGCCACTGCGGAAGCCAGAAATCAACTTTACTGTGCTGTAATTTACAAATTAAAAAAAGTGCCCATGTTGGGTATGCATTTTAACAGGTTTGGGCAGACTCACACACCCATGTAACCACCACAATACACAAGATGTGGAATGCTTCCATCATGACCAGAAGCACTCCCCTGCCCCTTCCAGTTTCAGGTTTTCCATGCACCCACTTTGGTTACTTTGTATACGGTGTGAGGAAGGACCAAGGCTCATTTCTTCCCCACAGGGGCATCCAGCCTGTTTGCACCAGCTATAGAAAACACCCTCCTTTTTCAGTGGCTGGCCTTGCCCCCTTGTCAAACACAGTGAATCTATTTCTAAACTCCTCCTTCTGTTCCACAAGTGCTGATGTCTTTCCCAAGGCAATACCATCCGGACCATATTGTCAACCTCACCTGTGTCTCTGCGGAGTCGGACACGTTCCCTGACACTTTAGATGCCCAATGAATTGCTGAATAAATGAATCTGTCTTCAAAAGCAGAAATTATTCCAACTGTGTGGATAAAAACACTGAAGAGGTACCAGGGATGATAAAGCAACTTCAGGTCACAGATTTCTTCAGCAGGAAAGACACACACACTCTCCACAGGGCTGGGTGCCTTCCTATCCTGGACAGCCCACACGTGACCCCCCCAGCAGGAACTAGGGGGCCCAGGATCATGACACATTACCCCCTGGGACTATGGTCTTCTTTACGTGGCTCATCTTGTGGTTTTCTTTCAGCAGGAAGTTATCAAGCTGACCTGCTCCCTACAGAACAGTTAAGACATGGGCTCAGGTTTGACAGCAACTAGGTGAGGATCCCAGACCTAACCTCCCTGACAGCCTGGGTGTTTCTGGCCCAGGACTTACCAGTAAAGACTGTTACAAGAATTTATGATCACATGTATGTCAAACATGCACAGCTTGGCTTGATAAATAAAAATTACTGATACAATGTACAAAGAATCCTTCACTGAAATCAATGCTACTTGAGTTTACTCTAAGTTATATCACACCTTGTTTTCAGTTCTGTTGAATACATTGTGACTGCAATCCCACCACTGGAAATCATGACAAATGATTTCCAGCCATGGTTCCTTTGAAGGGGCTCAGATCCGAGAAGCGTGAGCACAGTGGACAGCACCTGGGGTTCCTCCTACTCCCCAGAGGGAGACGAGGGCAGACGCTGACCAAGGACCTCAGGGAGAAGGAGAAAGAAGTCACGGTAGGAGACAGGTTCTCATGGACATGTGCCGTAAATACACTGTGGCTTTTTCTTTTTTTTTTTTGGAATTAGGGAGAATGCAGTAAATGCAGACTTTAAACATAGTCAAAGCTATGGTGTACAGGTGTGAGAGCAGGCCATAAAGAATGCTGAGCACTGAAGAATTGCTGCTTTCAAACTGCAGTACAGGAGAAGACTCTTCTCTGAAGAGTTCTCTTGAACTGCAAGAAAATTAAACCAGTCCATCCTAAAAGAAATTAACACTGAATATTCATTGGAAGGACTGATGCTGAAGCTGAAGCTCCAATACTTTGGTCACTTGACATGAAGCACTGACTCATTGGAAAAAACCCCAATGCTGGGAGGGATTGGGGGCAGGAGGAGAAGGGGACGGCAGAGGATGAGATGGTTGGATGGCATCACCCACTCAATGGACATCAGTTTGAGCAAGCTCCGGCAGGCAGTGCAGGACAGGGGAGCCTGGCATGCTGCAGTCCCTGGGGTTGCAAAGAGCCGGACACGACTTAGCAGATGATCAACCACGGGTCTGAAAAGCATGAACGTGGACAGAGCTTGGGGTCACTTTGACTCCCTGGGCTGGGGGGAGGCCTATACAGACGCTGACCAAGGACCTCAGAGAGAAAGAGAAAGAAGACACAGTAGGGGCGAGGTTCTCATGCATATATATGTGCAGTAAACACATTATGACATTTTTTCTCCCCCCGCAATTAGGGAGAATACGGTAAACGGTAGATCGCACTAGGCTTTAAGATGCATAAATCAGAGGTACTTTCAAACAAAGGCTGGCCACATGGTTTCTACTTTCCAACACATTGTGCCAGCCAGGACTAAGAGAAGAGGAGACTACTGTCCAATCATCTCCCAATCATGTCAGTCAGTGTTCTGGGCTAGAAACAGCGACTGTTCCAGGCTGGCACCTGGTTCCCTCAGAGACCTTACCAGGTAGGGAGCCGAGGCATCACCCCTGCCTGCCCCCACATGCAGGCCAAGTAGGGAGCAGACTCATCCCACCCCTCCTTCCCCATATGAAAAGTCACTGAGGCACTTAGAGAACAGAATGTGTCATTTATGGGCTGTTTGTAATCCAGGCGTTTTTACTCTAAAACTCTCTGTGAACATTTATTTTTAAAAAGAAAGCATTTAATGGGCATGAATGAATTAACAGTTTTTAATTAAGAATTCACCCTATTTCATGCCGTGCCCTTTCAAGTTCAGATTTTTACAAAAGTATCTATGATGTGCCGGGCACACTGCCAGGGACTTGCGGGGTCAACACGCCGTAGAATGCAGAGTTACAGGCCGTGTCTACTTACGGTGGCCCGCGGTGAGAGACAGCAGGTAGGTCAGCATGCTCTGCCGGTGCCAGGAGCGTGGGGGCAGGTTGGCGACACTGGGATGGGTGTTTGCTGCTGGCCTCCCCAGTCCCAGCCCCACTCCAGCTCTCCCGCATCCCCGGGAGTCCCATGGTGCAGACCCGAGTCCTAATTGTCCCAGGGCAGGTACAGCTTGTTCCAGACTCCCTGACACCCCTCCCACACAAGACCCTGGCCCTCCCAGGGACTCAGGGCAGCTCAGCGGACTCTCCTCCCTCCCCACACCCAAGGTCCTGCCTCCTTCCTTCCACATCTACTCCGCAGCTACACAGGGGTGGAAGCCCCAGGCGGCTGCTCAAGATGCAGGAGTCAGCAAAAGAACAGAAAGACATCACGCCCCTTCGCAGGCTGGCAAAACATTCCACAAACGGACTTTGTT